GTAGTTTATGTTCACTGATATTTATGTGTAACGCATACATCCTTCATTCAGATTGATACGTCCTTCCAAAACTGAACATGCTTGAAGATGTAATAGCTCCGTTAATAGCCTGACGAAGCGTAGTAAACAGTGGAATTTAATTAACTTGTCGACAGAATGTTATTTATGTCTAACATACAGTAACCAAGTAATCGATATAGATAATTGTGTTTAAAACTATGTGGATAGTTTGAATTGAAATGAATGAATAAAACAATATGGTAAGTCGATACTGGTCTCAGTATAAAATTGATAGTCTGTCCGAAATTTAGATAACTAGATGAAAACAAAATCATTTTTGTCAGTATTCAATGCGATTGAATTTCGAAATTCGTAAGAAACCGTGTACAATAATATTAGACTGCCATTAGCTGGCTTGCTATATTTTTCAATCGTTGAAACCACTGAAAGATTCTATATGCCAGCAGTTTATCGTCAGATTTGTCTCAAATTTTGAATACTTACTTTAAAACTCCCTAAATCAGTTTTCGGTTTTCTTTTATGTTCACAATATTAAAAATGTAAGGTGATTACCCTGTAATATATAATCGTGCTTTTGTCAGCTTGATTACCTTTAAACATGACTGCTCAAACTATAGTACCAATCGTCGTATGAGACAAATTTCTCTGACTCGCTACGCTCCGCCATTTGGATTGTTAACCAGAACGAGTTTGGGGGGGGGGGGGTCTGTTTGGTATTTTTCTGTTCTTTTCAAGGTTATTATTTCTTTCCAGGTGACTTCAATGAAAATTACGACGACAAAAGAGGGTAGGGCAAATGGAAAGGGTTTAACGTTCTACCCTTCTACACTAATGTTGATAATGAAGAAGAATATACGTCATACAGTGTTCCATTATGAGGGTAAATTTTGTCCGGAAGGCAGCGCTACGATCTACTCTTATTTCTGATTCCAACTGCCAATGGCTCTCTTACGTGCGCTCCAACGTGTACACGGGATCTTGTTTTTGCGCAGACTCCAAACGACTGGACAATGTTTCTTTCCAGGCTCCCCATCTTGCGCCACTGACAAGGGGAAACCACACTGGAAAATCCGGGAGAACTTTCTCGGCCAAAACCTACCCACTGAATTAAAGTACGTGGAGAAAGGCTGCTTAACGATTATGCTAATCATGTAACACGATTTCCCGAAATTATTCATTGCTGCAATGTTTCCACGTTTTGGTTCCTGATGATCACAGAACCCCTCTGAACAGCATGTAGAACAGCCAGTGGCGGCGCCAGGGGGGCAAGGGGGAGCATTTGCCCCCCCCCCCCATTAATCTGGTCTGCCCTCTGTTTGCCCCCCCCCCCCAAATTTAAACCAGCGGCTGCCAGGCAGGATACGCCCACATTTTCGAGAGATGGATAGAAAACAAGCTAAAACGAAAGTGATTTTTCCTACAATCAAGGGCCATAATTCAGGAAATTACAATTCGATATGCGCAAATATCGAAAGGAACCAAGATCTTTGAGTTATAAACTTACATTTCAAGTTTCAACAAAATCGGATAAAACTTGTGACCTCTATAGGGTCCACAACCTTGATATACCATATTTTTACGCAATTTGAGAACGAGGGGCGGCCATTTTGTCTGTCAGTTTTGGGCCGATTTTCACGAAATTTGAACTCAGTCGTCCTTAGGGTGTAACGGTGATATAATAATATGATTTTTTAAATCGGATAATAATGATGACCTCTATAGCATCCACAAGCTAAAAACGTGATATTTCGTACAATCAGGGGCCATAATTAAGGAAGTTACGATCCCATATGCGCGAATATCGAAAGGAACCGAGATCTTTGGGTTATAAACTTACATTTAAAGTTTCAACAAAATCGGATAAAAATTGTGACCTCTATAGGGTCCACAACCTTGATATACCATATTTTTACGCTATTTGAGAACGAACGGCGGCCATTTTGTCTGTCAGTTTTGGGCCGATTTTCACGAAATTCGAACTCAGCCATTCTTATGGTGTAACGGTGATATATTAACACGTTTTTTTAAATCGGATAAAAAATTATGACCTCTATAGGGTCCACAAGCCAAAAAACGCGTTTTTGCGTACAATCAGGGGCCATAATTCATGAAGTTACGATCCGATATGCGCGAATATCGAAAGGAATCAAGATCTTTGTGTTATAAACTTACATTGCAAGTTTCAACAAAATCGGATAGAAATTGTGCCCTCTATAGGGTCCACTACCTTGATATACCATATTTTTACGCTATTTGAGAACGAATGGCGGCCATTTTGTCGGTCAGTTTTGGGCCGATTTTCACGAAATTCGAACTCAACCGTCCTTAGGGTTTAACGATGATATAATAATACGGTTTTTTAAATCGGATAAAAATTATGACCTCTATAGGGTCCACAAGCCAAAAAACGCGTTTTTACGTACAATCAGGGGCCATAATTCAGGAAGTTACGGTCCGATATGCGCGAATATCGAAAGGAACCGAGATCTTTGGGTTATAAACTTACATTTCAAGTTTCAACAAAATCGGATAAAAATTGTGACCTCTACAGTGTTCACAAGCCAAAAACGTGAATTTTCGTACAATCAGGGGCCATAATCCATGAAGTTACGGTCCGATAGATGCCAATATCGTAAGGAACCGAGATCTTAGGGTGATAAACCTATATTTCAAGTTTCATTGAAATCGGATAAAAATTGTGACCTGTAGACTGTTCACAAACAATTGTGGACGGACGGACGGACTGACGGACAGGGGCGACGACAATATACGTCCACATGAAAATGTGGGCGTATAAAAATAAAAAAAAGTATTTGTGATACGTTTCGGTAATCAATACCTTCTACGGTGAATAAATCCCAGATCCCCACTCAGTCATAAACTTGCATTTTGTAGAGCATTTCCGACAGTCTATTTTTCAAATTTTCTTGGCGAGTACCCAATGGACTCGCTACTTTGGCGCTCACAAGGGGAATTCGTTGAGGTTCGCAAGTCCGTTCGTTTGACATTTTGTTCTCTGCACGTATATTAAGTCAGTATTTGAGATTTTTCCCTTCTATTCTGGCATTGTTTGTTTACCTCATTAACTCATTTCGATGCATAATTTTGAGACCGACTGCAGTGACTGCACTTATTTTGAGACCGACTATTTTTCTCCCTGGTTTTTTTTTCTTAGACCAACTCACAACAGAATAAGGTTAAACACACATTTTTTCAAACATGATAAGTTAACGAGGTTATTTTATACTAAAGTTTTGGGTGAGTAGCGTGACCTGTGCAATTGAGGCGCACGGATTCACGCAAATACATAAAATTTTGGATTTTTCCTTCTATTTTGGCACTGTTTGTTTACCTCATTAAATCAGTGAGCACTTATTTTGCGACCGACTGCCTTTATTTTGTGATCGACTGCATTTATTTTGCGACCGACTATGTTTTTAGATGGGGGGTGCCCCCCCCCCCCCACACACACACATTTACGCCCCTGAATAAAGCGTACAATTATATCACGCCCCTTTTCTCAGCGTTCGGCGAGTTCGGCTAATTTGGTTTAGTGTAAGTTTGGCCTGTTTTTCAGGAAGTATGTCATTGTTAATAATATTTATAATTATATTATCAGTGTTTTCGTCATGTGTTTCGGGGATGCCACTAAATTTAAATTAGGCATGTTCGCCTAAATACTGTTCTAAGTCATCGACTCGGTTCTCTAAATCATCTATACGATTGCGTGGAGGGTTTGTTAATGTTGGATGAATTATTTTTATGATGTGGTCCATGATCAAATCTCTTTTGAATAATTCTCCAACGAACGACTTTAAGGATGATTCGTTCGTAAAAACATCATCTAAAAACTCGAGATGCTATGGGAACTGGCACATGACTCAAAATTTCCACGTTTACGTTTTATGGATTCAGACCGACCTCTATGTTTGGATACAACCGGTTCTTTCACTTTAGGCATGTTTGGTATTTTAGTGCAAGGTTGAACGAACCTGGCTGATACAAAATCTACTCTCAACAATCTCACACAGGTGGGTATATGTCAACCGAGGAAAATATCTACACTTGTAAAAATCAAATATTTTAAAATCGGCTCTACATAAAGTTAATCAAATATCACAGAACACTTCGTCTTCATACTTATCTAAACTATGCAGTTTTTAGAACTATAATTTAAAGTAAATCACTCATGATTTATAACTTGCTATGACCAGGTACACGTCTAACTTCTGTCGGCCATCTGTTGCCTCCACCTCGTTCACATAGTTTTGGTAAAGGGGATATAACTCTAGAACAACAATTAGCAACAGGGTTCATCATCTGATGATCCCAATGGTTCCCCTTAAATTTAAAAAGGTCAGTCGCAGAACACTGAATATTGATAGGGTTCATCCTCTCATGACCCCATTGCTTCACATCAAATTTGAAAAGAATCTGTATAAGAAACCTATCGTGTGCAGAAGATATTTAGCAAAGGGAGGTAACTCCGAAAAGTAAAGCTGCGGAAACGCTTATTTTCGACAGGGTTCGTCCTCGCATGCCCTAAATGCTTCCCACGAAATTTGAAATAGATCCGTTTAATACTGTAGCCTCTATCGCGTTCACAAGCTTTTCAACAATTGGAGAGGTAGGATAACTCCAAAACAGAAAGTCGCGGAATGCTGATTATTGACACTGTAAGTCGTTTCATGACCCGGGTGCTTCCCACTATGGCCTATATCGCAAACACAGGGTTTTCGGAAAAGTAGACATAGCCCTGGAACCGAAAGTAGAACGCTGAATATCGATAGGGTTTTCGTTCTCTTATAACCACAAAGCTTCATAACAAATTTGAAAAGAATCCGTTCACAAGCCTATAATTGACTTGTGAACGGATTCTTTTCAATTATTGTTCAAATATATCATCAAACCAGTTTGTACGTGTGGGGTATGTTAAACGACGCTGAAACTGGGAATTGAAAGGAAAACAAACACAAAAAAACTATTTAAATATACACTGTTTTGTATTATTGAGATGTAAATTGATGACTAAACAAAAAATCATAAACGATACAAATACCAAGAAGATAGTTGTGAAAACATTTAACTTTAAGACCGTTCAATTTAAATAAGACAGATACGAAAACGGGAGTTTGCGGACGATGGGGTGCCTCATGATCAATATGTAAATGTGATTTACACCAGGCACATGGTAGTTTTCCTATCAAAGAAAAGAAGGGAAACTGGATCCGCGTTTGGGTCACATTAACAAAATAACATGTATCTGGGTTATTTCGGTATTAATTGTAAATTGAAACCATCGGTGAAACCAAAACATCAAAATAAACATGTTCTTATATTTGGCCGGAGAGGTATGGTTGATCCATTACTGTTTCAAATTTATCGAAAACAAAATAAATTTAAACCTTCATATGTTTTTTATACGTTGGAGTTAATGCTTTGTTAATATGGAATAATTAGTATTAATTAGATTAAGGAGGTTAATCATGGGGTTGAGCACAATTATTGCAAAAGAATATCGAAATCGTCTAAGGTTTTATAACCATAGCGCTGTGGTGCTCTGGAAGTGGCCACATCCTTTCCACAAAGTTTATCACCAACAATGTATTCCTTGCCGATCATTTTTTGTGACCAAGCCAGAACTTTGTCTGTAACAGGAGTGGCCACACCAGCAATCTCGCTGATTCCTTTCAAAACAACAACTCCAAACGGAACGTCTTCTGTCATATATCTGTAAGTGAAATCGGGAAGGAATTTGCCATCTGGCGTCTCCTTCATTGGGTGAAGGAGTCCATTGAATGCTGAATTAGTTTGTAGTGCTGTCAGAAGACTGCTTTTATCCTTTATCTCATCTTTATAGATCAACTTAAACCAATCAAAAAGATGCCCAACTCCGTCAAGATTAATTTCTGACTTCTTTCGGGAAATTTCTCTAGCTGTAGCAATAAGTTCATCACTCATCCCAGACATTAATTCAGCAGCTTCTGCAGTAAGACCCTGGTAAAACAATGGCTTACTGTCCAATGGCTGACCATCCCATTCGTGCCATGTTCCGTACATTATAGGTGGATGCATGATGGATTTAGTGTTCAGAGTTGGTTCAAGGAAGTTGTGATATATTTGAGCTACTGGGTGGGGACCAAGAAGATACTGAACTGGTTTCAGGGGATCGGGACCCACATTACTTTTGCCTTTGATGACGACGCAGCCTAGAAAATCTTTGGTACTCAAGACAGTAACAGCTCTGCCGAACTCACTTATTCTAGCAGCCCATGGCAGACCCTCAAATGCGACGACACAGCATTCTGGCGCAATATCTTTCAAGACACTAAAGCACTGAAACTCAAAGCCAGGTTGACCAGGCATACCCACAATGGTGGTATTTGGTTTAAGATAAGGTTTGATAGCTTCGAAATAAGACTCGTGAGCGAAAGCGGGGACCGCAAAAATGATCAGACTGGCTCCTGGAACAGCTTTACTGGCATCATTGGTGATCATGCTGGGTTTTCCACGAACCTTCAAAAATAAAAGATAAGTTGCCAGGCAAAGAAACATACGTCCACATCAACCAAATTGTCCCTGCAGTCGGTAAGGTGTGTCACATATCTATACGTTTTCAGGTAATGAGAGCATTTTCAAGACAATAAAAACTTTTCGAGAGTAACAACACGTTGAGTAATTATCAGAAATAATTAAAAGTTTAATTTATTCTAGTTCTTCCTGATGCTAACACCTATTTTACGGCTAAACAGATGGCAAATTTAACTGTTCGTTAAAGTCATTGAACATCATTGAAAAAACTATAGAATTATTCGTCTTTAAGCAATGTGTATAAAGTTCATGCCAACAAGTTGATAACTTTTCAAGGGAGATAACTCTGGTGGTAATTATCAGGCAACGTTGCAAATCAATATTTTTCTTTGCTTCACGGCCATAACCGCAGTATATAGATTTAAAGTCAATCGGGTAATAACTAGGCTCTAGAGCGTTCAGAAGCGGGCGACGAGAGGACGTGGTTACGACAATATACTACCAAATTTCAATGTAGATGTATAAAAACCCAAATAGATTAAAGTTCCCATTAACAGAGATATTGTCATTTAGTAACGATTATATAAATAGTTTTTTTTAACTTTATAAGGATTTTACGAACTTCAAGAATCAATTTTAATAATACGTACCTCGTCATGACTGCCATCAGGGTGATTAACTGTAAGCACTAATGGATCAGTTCCTAGAGTTTTCGTCCATCTTTCTGCTTCATCGGAAAATACGTCAAGGACTCGGATATCAACATTTTCACGGGAGGATGCAAGGCCTGTCATTACATGTGCAGCGTTGCCCCCTCCACATATTACAGCAGTGAGTGTTTCAGACATGGTTTTTTATGTCGCTGAAAATATATAATATTTTATCAGTGCTTTTATTTCATTCTGACAATCTAAAATTTGGTTCCCTGTAAAACTACATAACAGGGTGGGGTCATTTTGCCAAATTGCCAAAACCGCCAAATGACAAGATTGAAGCTTCGTTAAAAATCAGAAATGTAAGTCCTGATTTACTGCAACGAAATAAAATGTAGTCTATCTAATTATTTAAGCATATGTTACTGTCATTATTCAATTGTACTACCGACCCACCCACCCCCACCCCCCGACCCCGACCCCTCCTCAAAAAACTAAAAAAAAAAACCATTTCTTGTCTGACGGGCGAGCATTGCCCTATTTTTATGGAATTCTAGGAGATTTACATAGAACATAATATGTGGAGTTTTGAGAAATTTGGTGAAATTGTCCTGTTCTACAAGTTTGGGCATACGGTAAAACTTTGTAAGTAAAAGATATGCCTAAACAGTAAAGTCTGTCTAAATAAGACCGAGGATAGGCTACCCCTGCATGCGAGTACATATTTACCAGCTAAGCTCAAGAAAATCAATATTACTATAGGGCTCAAATAGACAACTTTTTATTTCAAAGTCAAGCATTTTGAAATTTATTCTTGAGGTAGTTGGTAAATTATACGTAGTGTCTCACGCAATAAAAATAATGATAAAGAATATTGCTGATTTGATAACATATTCGATTATCTGGGCTTGTTAAGATACACTTTAAGTTGCTAGCCTATAGACCTATCCTGCTGCATCGCTTGTCTTATTAAGTAGATATAATAAATTTTATTTCGTTCCAGTAAATCAGAACGTACATTTCTTATTTTTATCGAAGCCCTCAAACTCGATTAAAAATACATTTTTTGGGCATTTGGCCGTAAATCACATTATCCGAAGTCTCTTGGAAGTTAATATACAGAAAGTATTGGTTTTAACAATATTATTATACAATGTAGGTCTCTCTCTCTCCCTCTCTGGGAAATATACCGTTTATTACCCTTTTAAACACTTATATTTGACGCGTTTTACATTTTGCTAATGTTCTGACGGTTTCCTTTTCTGGGATAAAGTACAGTCCTTCACGTTTAAGGGGAGCCTTTGCTCCTCTCGACACACGTCGACTTTCCTTCGAAGAAGTCATTAAAGACTCCTGCAAATTAGCTAAATCGTTCTCCTAAATATTGAGATTAATAAACTACTTTCAGTTTTTGTTTACTTTTAAACTGCATATATTCAAGGTATCAGGAGCTTTTAATGGCTCCCGCACAATTTTATAAACATGAAGGACTGAAAGTAACAATATTTTTTTTTCTGAAGAGGTTGAGTTTTTAAACGAGAATGTGTGAGGATTTCAGATCGAAGCCTTGCGAACACGATGGAAGCATACATGATCCTTATCAAATTTGTCATCCCTGTTTTCCTTTCGGATAAGGTGCTGTCTATAATGGCTATATATTTATTCGGAACAAATCGTGTTGCTTAATCAGGCACACATTTACCGCTAGCCGTACACACTTTTAAGCTTTTTTTTCTTCAGTGTGTGCGGTACTTTAGTATTTCAGCTTCTTACATTCACGTTTGACTCTTTAAACATACATTATGCAAGAGCTAAATCTGCCTATTGCAGGTCTTTCTTTAGGCCTGAAATGTTATCTAAATTATTAATCAGACATTAATTAACTTAACCAGACCATAATCAACTCTCGATGTTAACGCTAGCCTGCGATATTTATTGGATTAGGTTCCGATTTGCTGCTAAACTTTCATGCATGATTTAATCATGAAATGGATAATTGAGACTATGTTTTTATCGTACCGACTTTAGTAATGATGATCGAGGCTAGGCCAAAATTTCAATCGCTAAAATCTCGGTTCAGAGTGGATCTTTGACTGAAATTTTCAGCAAATTCCCTTTAGATTATCTAGTTTTTATCTATTATAGTGATAACTGCCAGCTCTCTATCTAATCCCCCATAATGTATGTTTAAGTAGTGAGCAGTGTCCTAAACGGGGTAGGATATGCTTACTATTGTCATTTATTCTTTCATACCACTTCCCATTCCACGATTTCACATACTTAACATTGTTGTAAATGAAATGAAATGAAATGGGGTTTAACGTCCCACTATTCTAACATTGTTGAACTTTTGTATTTAAATATAATAGTACGGGTAGTCTAATTTTCAGTTTTCGAATACAAGCGAAATTCCGATTTGTAAGTTGTATACTTTGTGTGAAAATTTGACCATACATAATTATGGAAGACCAAATGGGACAATATTCATGAATTTTGTTTCTACATTCCAGTTTGAACATTTTAGACACGAACGCAACATTCTAAACTAATGATTCTTGTTTCTACATTCTTATGTCAACATTTCATGCACAAAATCAACATTTTAAACAAAAAATTGACTTTATGTTTCATTTTCGGCGTTTTATAGGTAACTTTTATATATCATTAAATATTAAAATTAACCAGCGGCTGCCAGGCAGGATACGCCCACATTTTCGAGAGATGGATAGAGAACAAGCTAAAAAGAAAGTGATTTTTCCTACAATCAAGAGCAATAATTCAGGAATTTACAATTCGATATGCGCAAATATCGAAAGGAACCGAGATCTTTGTGTTATAAACTTATATTTCAAGTTTCAACAAAATTGGATAAACATTGTGACCTCTATAGGGTCCACAACCTTGATATACCATATTTTTATGCTATTTGAGAACGAAGGGCGGCCATTTTGTCTAAAAACGTGATTTTTCGTACAATCAGGGGCCATAATTCAGGAAGTTACGGTCCGATATGCGCGAATATCGAAAGGAACCGAGATCGTTGGGTTATAAACTTACATTTCAAGTTTCAACAAAATCGGATAAAAATTGTGACCTCCATAGGGTCCACAACCTTGATATACCATATTTTTACGCTATTTGAGAACGAACGGCGGCCATTTTGTCTGTCAATTTTGGGCTGATTTTCACGAAATTCGAACTCAGTCGTCCTTAGGGTGTAACGGTGATATAATAATACGGTTTTTAAAATCGGATAAAAATTATGACCTCTATTGGGTCCACAAGCTAAAAACGCGATTTTTCGTACAATCAGGGGACATAATTCAGGAAGTTACGGTCTAAAGAAAGACCTGCAATAGGCAGATTTAGCTCTTGCATAATGTATGTTTAAAGAATCAAACGTGAATGTAAGAAGCTGAAATACTAAAGTACCGCACACACTGAAGAAAAAAAAGCTTAAAATTGTGTAAGGCTAGTTTTGGGCCGATTTTCACGAAATTCAAACTCAGTCGTCCTTAGGGTGTAACGGTGATATAATGATACGTTTTTTTAAATCAGATAAAAATTATGACCTCTATAGGGTCCACAAGCTAAAAACGCGATTTTACGTACAATCAGGGGCCATAATTCAGGATGTTACGGTCCGATATGCGCGAATATCAAAAGGAACCGAGATCTTTGGGTTATAAACTTACATTTCAAGTTTCAACAAAATCGGATAAAAATTGTGACCTCTATAGGGTCCACAACCTTGATATACCATATTTTTACGCTATTTGAGAACGAACGGCGGCCATTTTGTCTGTCAATTTTGGGCCGATTTTCATGAAATTTGAACTCAACTGTCCTTAGGGTGTAACGGTGATATAATAATACATTTTTTTTTAAATCGGATAAAAATTATGACCTCTATAGAGTCCACAAGCTTAAAACGCGAATTTTCGTACAATCAAGGGCCATAATTCAGGAAGTTACGGTCCGATATGCGTGAATACTGAAAGGAGCCGAGATCTTTGGGTTATAAACTTACATTTCAAGTTTCAACAAAATTGGATAAAAATTGTGACTCTATAGGGTCCACAACCTTGATATACCGTATTTTTACGCTATTTGAGAACGAACGGCGCCCATTTTGTCTGTCAATTTTGGGCTGATTTTCACGAAATTCGAACTCAGTCGGCCTTAGGGTGTAACGGTGATATAATAATACGGTTTTTTAAATCGGATAAAAATTATGACCTCTATAGGGTCCACAAGCTAAAAACGCGATTTTTCGTACAATAAGAGGCCATAATTCAGGGAGTTACGGTCCGATATTCGCGAATATCGAAAGGAACCGAGATCTTTGGGTTATAAACTTATATTTCAAGTTTCAACAAAATCGGATAAAAATTGTGACCTCTATTGGGTCCACAAGCTAAAAACGTGATTTTTCGTACAAACAGGGGCCATAATCCATGAAGTTTTGAACCGATACATGCCAATATCGAAAGCAGTCGAGATCGTTTGGAGATAAACCTATACTTCAAGTTTCGTCAAAATCGGATAAGATTTGTGACCTGTAGAGGGTCCACAAACAATTGTGGACGGACGGACGGACGGACGGACGGACAGGGGCGACGGCATAATACGTCCACATGAAAATGTGGGCATATAAAAAATAATTTCTTACTTTTACACGACAAAGAAATCAATTCATTGGTTTCTGAAAGTATGTAAACACAACAGGGGCCCACTTCCACTCGTGGAAAAGTCTACTTTTGATTTCTAATCTATAGTCTGTATCAAAGTTGTACACATACGCTAACGCCCTCTGGTGTAATAATGTTGATAATTCATTATATTTTTCTGGACATTTTCATTTCAAGAATTTAACTTTATGACTTTTTGAAACGTAGAAAATATTTTCATAAGAGTTCAAATTCCAGATTTTTCTTTTAGATACTTCCAGAAACCAATGAATTGATTTCTTTGTTGTGTAAAATTAAGAAATTATTGTTTAATTTTAATATTTAATGATATATAAAAGTTACCGATAAAACGCTGAAAATGAAACATAAAGTCATTTTTTTGTTTAAAATGTTGATTTTGTGCATGAAATGTTGACATAAGAATGTAGAAACAAGAATCATTAGTTTAGAATGCTGCGTTCATGTCTAAAATATTCAAACTGGAATGTAGAAACAAGAATCGTGAATATTGTCCCATTTGGTCTTCCATACATAATATCCCAAGAGATATATCACTATTTCTATGAATACTGTACACGATAATATGTACAAACTATTATTATGTTGGATCAGAAATGTATGTTATGCCGTGTTTTATAAACAAATATCGCTTAAAGTAGCTAAGTCCGTAACTCAATATCATCCAAAATCTTCGACATTGAAAACACGATTTTTTTTGCAATTTAAATCAGCATTGGTGTTGTGGTCTTACTTGGAAAAGGTGGGCTTCTGATATCCAATATTTGAGACAAAATACACATTTTACCATTGGTACACGAATCGTGTACCATAATGCGTTTCAGCGCCATTTGTAACAAGGTGCTCAAAGAATGAGGCTAGACATATTCCACAAGTCATGTCAAACGGTGATGCCATATTCTTTTTTGGAGAGCATGCGCAATATATACTATCGGTGTTGACTGGAATAACCATACTATAGAAACTGTCTTTCGGTTGAGACTTCTGGCGTATTTCGCCGAACATAACTGATGACAATTCACAGTAAAACGGAAACGATTGAATGTAAAACAGTTTATATAAATTCATATTACATTATTATATGTGTTGCGACCCATTTGTGCCAATTTCTAGGCCCAATATATTAGCGATTTAGCTCCTTTAATTGCAGCTTAATTGCAATTTAAGTGCCGATTTCTAATCCATGAAGCGGAGATATACTCTTTAAGAGTATTTATATCGGTATGAAACATATCGTTTAAAATGTAGGCTTTGATTTGCCACCTCCTTTTGATACAAAAATTATCCTACTCTTTTATATTTTTATTAATTATTCGAACAATGTCACCCCATATCTGTCCTTATATATTCTAATTAACAACATCATTTTGTAGAGCTCTGTGAGATGAGAGATATTTTTAGTTTGTTCGATATCTGATCTGGTGTCAGAAAATCCGTAAATCAGACAGAAGAAGCCAACTGAAACTCAAAGATTAATCTTTATTCTTGATAGTTTCTAGCCATTTCACGCGTTTTTATAGCAGAAATGGAAATTGTGATCGCATATTCTGCATTAGGCATCGATTTGTTTTTCTCGGTAAATATAAAACCAACGGTTGCATAGAATGTCAACTTGAGATTATCTGACATCAATGAATTCTAGTCAGTACCATAAATATAGTTCTTACACGTTATCTCTTGAATTACCACCATGTTAATGATTTCTAGGAGTATGGTCTAAAAAATCTACACATGTAGTAAATACCTTTCGTATTCTCTCGGGAATTAAAAATACATTATGGGAGATTAGATAAAGACTAATAAAGAGCTGGCAGTTCTCACTATACTAGTTAAAAACTAGATAAAGTAAAGGGGATTTGCTGAAAATTTCATTCAAATTGATCCACTCTAAATCGAGAATTTAGCGATTGAATTTTCGACCTAGCCTCGATCATCATTACTGAAGTAGGTACGATAAAATAACATAGTCTCGATTATCCATTTCATGATTTAATCATGAATGAATGTTGAGCAGTAAATCGGATCCTAGTCCAGTAAATATCACAGGCTAGCGATGACATCGAGTTGATTATGGTCTGGATAAGTTAATTAATGTCTAATTAATAATTTAGATAACATTTCAGCCCTGACAGAAAGACCTACAATAGACAGATTTTTAGCTCTTGCATAATGTATGTTTAAAGAAATGAAATGGGATTTAACGTCCTACTGTTCTGCTCCGACTGGGCTAATATTAAGACATGCATACGCCATACAGTGTGCTATGGGGGAAATTTTGCCAGGACAGTGGCGCTACGGCCTACTCTTATATCAAATTCCAAGCGTGAAGGGTTCCAAATGTGTATACGGGACCTCGGTTTTTTGTCCCATCCGAACCACTATACGTTGTCGCTTTGCCAGGCTCTTCACATTGTTGAGTTTAATTTGTATACTAAATCCCAGTTCTATCAATGGGTTATCTAAGAGTGTGGCTTCCACTATAACATCATTTTGATGTCCAGCTGGATTTTCTAGTGGCGCAAAATGGAGGGGAAATGAAATGAAATGGGGTTTAACGTCCTACTGTTCTGCTCCGAACTGGGCTAACGAAGACGGGCATACTGGATAGCGGCACTACGGCCTACTCTTATATCGAATTCTAATTGTCAAGGGATCTTTCACGTGCACGCCAATGTGTATACGGGACCTCGGTTTATCGTACCATCCGAACAACTAGACAGCTATCCTTGCAGCTGTCCTTTTCAGGCCGTCCGTCCTGTATCACTGACAAGGGGGAACCACGCCGGAAAATCTGGATGAACTTTCCGACCTCCAGGCTAGCGAGCCAGCGTCTTACCCACTTAGCTACCGTGACCCCCGCAGGGATAGAGAGACAGGCGAGGGAAACGCGCCTAGACTTTCAAGTGGGGAAAAAACCCGAGGTTCAAATGTATACTTCTCGGCATGGAAGTAAAAGAACCCTCACAGCCTCAAATCAAAATTTCACTCATAGATAACTCCCTGCCTTTATTATTCGGGTTGGTGCAGAAAAGTAGGTCGCCAAACCTTTAATTTTTATTTGCAAATCCTTCTAAGTGAGAGGGTTTTTAATATTTTTTAGATTCACCTGATGTTAAATAAGATTTGTATGTATCTTGTTAGGATAAGTATAATTACTTTGCCACGCCGAGAAAAACCCATCAATGCCGTATTCGTTTTACCAAGCTAGTCAAGGTCATATAGGCGTGAGAGGTCAATATTGATCTACTGACAGTGTTGGATATAAATTGTACGCGATAAGTTTACAGGGTATATAATTAGCAAATCCAATATTGTTAGTAAAGAAAATACAGAAGTGCTAACTTTTGATTTTCAATAATGCCAGACATTTATGAAGGATATCTTATGGAACTAAATATATATATGGTCCCTGATTACTTGCCACCAGTTTCATTTCATGAATAGGCAACACATTGTTGATAGATAGCAAGAACAGCTAAAAATAACGTTATAATTTGATGAAATGTGTATTCTAAGAGCTAAATAAATGTAATTTCAAAATTTATCAATCCAATCTTTGGAAATTACAGTTCAATTGTTAACAGGAACCTCCTGTAAAAAACAATATCAAAAACAGAATTAGCAAAACGCAGTTCTTTGACGGCCATAAAACAAATTGCAGAAAACAAGTTTTAAAATAAAAATGACATGAGATTAGCTTACCTTGCTTGTTATGAAATTATGGAACTGTTATTCCTGGTATTGTACACAGAAATGCTCTTTATAAATAAACAAACCTTTGCATCGGCTGATGAAGTGGCGTCTTATAATGCAAACTTTGTGTCAGACGTCCAAATTTTGAATCGTGCACGAACACGAGAAACTGGTGCACGGTTGATATTGTGTTGTTATTAGACCTAGCGCTACTAGTCGATCTGGTCTCACTGGTAATTACTGCATATACATGCTTTGTTGTATTCGCTTGAATGACACTCAAACTTTACATCGACCAGATGCATAGACGTGTAGCCATATTTGAACGGGTCAGTAACGCCTGCTCATGTCAAATTGATGAATTGATGTAGACGGTTTATCCACTACAATGTCAATGACCGTTTCTAGTTTAAATTTAAAATAGCGACGGATGGGTACTAGGGAATTGACTTACTTTTGCGATATTTATACGATCACTCGATCACATTCCATGTGGATTCATTATTATAGGGGAGCCGCGGTGGCTCAGTGGGTGAGACGTTGGCTCGCTAACCTGGAGGTCCCTACATACCGAAAAACGTTGGGATATACTGATGTGCTTGTCTTTAGCTCCGACTGGGTGCCTGACAAACTTAATTTCGTTATGAAAGCATGCAACATCTTAAAAATAAGTTATACTATTAAAACTTATCAAACATACGCAGTCCAGTCAAGCAAAACAACATTCGTTTATCGTTGTTTTTATCAAAATTGATAACTGACATTCATAATTACGGGGTTAGTCCTGCGCATCTCGAATCAGGTTAGTACTTTGATTGGCTGTTGTACATGAGGCCCATTGTGGTCAAGATGGCAAATTTAAAGATACATTATGGGAGATTAAATAAAGAGCTGACAGTTCTCACTATATAGTTAGCAAGATGGCCGACAGAAGTTAGACGTGTACCTGGTCATAGCAAGTTATTATAAATCATGAGTGGTATACTTTAAATTATGGTTCTAAAAACTGCATAGCTTAGATAAGTATGAAGACGAAGTGTTCTGTGAAATTAGATTAACATTATGTAGAGCCGATTTTAAAATATTTGATGTTTACAAGTGTAGATATTTTCCTCGGTTGACATATACTCAGTTGTGTGAGATTGTTGTGAGTAGATTTTGTAACAGCCAGATTCGTTCAACCTTACACTAAAACACCAAACATGCCTAAAGTGAAAGAACCGGTTGTATCCAAACTTAGAGGTCGGTCTGTATCCATAAAACGTAAACGCGGAAATCATGATTCGAGTGCCAGTTCCCATAGCATTTCTGAGTTTTTAGATGATGTTCTTTCGAATGAATCATCCTTAAAGTCATTCGTTGGAGAATTATTCAAACGAGATTTGATCATGGACCACATTATAAAAATAATTCATCCAACATTAACAGACCCTCTACGCAATCGTATAGATGATTTAGAGAACCGAGTTGATGACTTAGAACAGTATTCTAGGCGAACATGCCTAAAATTTAGTGGCATCCCCGAAACACCTGAAGAAAACACTGATAATATAGTTTTAAATATTATTAACAATGACATACTTCCTGAAAAACAGGCTAAACTCACACTAAGTCAAATTGGCCGAACTCACCGGGTTGGAGCCAAACGCAGAGAAAAGGGCCGTGATATAATAGTACGTTTCAATAGTTATAGAGACAGGGCAAAGATATATGGTTCTAAACGCAACTTAAAACAGAGAAACCTCACCCAGATTCACAAGATCTTTATCAATGAAGCCCTCACTCGTAAACGCGCTGCACTCTACAAAAGATGTCGTGATATGTTTAAATCAAAGCTAATTAAAAACTGTTGGACGTATGATGGTCGAGTTTACATACGACCTCTAGCAGACGACGGAAATATTGTCATAACATGTGAGCAGGACTTCGATAACTTTCATACATCAACAAACAGAGTAAATTCACAAGCTAATAAGTCTTTGTTTAACTACAACGAAGCTACTTTATCACATTCTGCAATCAACACATCTTCCGACTGTATAGACGATGATAACAGAGTTGGGCCATTAAAACAACAATCCTTACGAGATTTTGGCGGGTTTGCCTCGACCCCACAGCCTGATAAAAAGAAATAATGATGCCTGACAGTATCTTTATATTTTTGAACCAATTTCATTCATCAATATCATTCCCAAACTACTGTACCTTATTGTGTACTGATTTTTCCTGTTTTTCTTAATGTCTACAAATGCATAAATATATATACGTATTTAATTATATTTAAACATCCATTGCAAGAGCTGAATCTGCGTATTGCAGGTCTTTTTTAGGCCTGAAATTATTAATTAAGACATTAATTAAAACTTATTCAGACCATAATCAACTCTCGATGTCATCGCTAGCCTGCGATATTTACTGGAGTAGGATCCGATTTGCTGCTCAGCTTTCATTCATGATTTAATCATGAAATGGATAATCGAATTCCATTTACATTATCTAGTTTTTAACTATTATAGTGAGATATGCCAGCTCTTTATCTAATCGCCCATAATGTATCTTTAAGTTGATGACCAACTGGATAGTACCTCAAATCGTTTCATGCATTCACCATTGCCCCAATTATCCTTCATGTAATAATAAGTTTGCTTAGATTTTTAAAACAATGACAAAATCTTTCTGTAAAGTAAAGTCATGTACATGTATTTTACTTGTTGGTTCCCTATTGTCTAACTATTACAGAGTAATATTAGCTTAGACCACTGTTTAGTTTATAATACATAGTTACATGTAGTTATACATTTATATTATTATATAACTAATTATGATAATAAAAAAAAATCGAATGTATAAAACTATGCCCACATTATTTATGGGCGTATCTTTTAAAAGTTCTCAATTATCTACTTAAAAGTTCCATTCAAATATTAACTAATTGGGTTATCATCTCAGTTTAAACTTTTGATTTCGTTTTTTATTCCATTTAAATTACTGAAATATAAACAGCCAATTATCTAAATAATTGTCAATTATGGGAACTCAGTCTTGCATCAAAATTGCATATCGGATTGTTAAACTGACCACCCTCTAAGTATTATCACTTTAACCTTCATCTTCATTTTTTGTCAAAATTGCCTGCTTTAGATATCATCGTACGATATTGTTATATTAACTTAACTATGACCGAAACATTCAATGTTTATGTATTATACTATTGCTTTAACTGTAAATAATTCACTGTTTTTGTCTGTATGTATGTTTTATTTGTTTACTAGTTATTTACATCATGTTCTCATGTCTCTATATCCACCAAAACTAACCACTAAATATTTAAGATCTAACTGTTTGATGATTTCTCAGTCCCCTCGTGCAATACTGGCGCAAGTGCAACACTCATTATATTTTCATTGCTACTGTAATAGTTGACATTTACTACACAGTAAAGCACGAGGCATCTGAGAAATGGCAATGTCGAATAATATCTCCAATAGTTTTATGTGAACTTGATAATTTTTGTCTGCTAAGTACTGTTTTAGCCTTATTAGTTCTAAGATCAGGAGACGTTCATAAAAATCCTGGACCTTCAAATCACGATTCAAATGAAAACCTATCAGTCTATCACTTAAATGCACGTAGTATAAGACACAAACTTGAAACAATATACAACGATGTCAATGATTACCATATTTGTAGTTTCACTGAGACTCATCTGGATAACTATGTGTTAGATTCATCTCTAAAATGGGACGGTTACCATTCTCCATACCGGAAGGATCGGACGTCGCATGGTGGCGGATTATTATTATATGTTAATAAAACCATTTATTGCAAACGGCGAGATGATCTTGAGGTTACAGGTATAGAGAGTATTTGGGTGGAATGCAAATTTCCAAACACCGTATTACTTGTTGCCTTATTTTACCGCCCGCCAAACAGCACAATTGAATTCTGGTCATTGTTCGAAAGATCCATTGAACTAGCCTATCAAACCACGCTTAAGGTTGTAATTTTAGGTGATCTAAATGATGACTTGCTAGCACAACGCTGCAAGCTACGGGATATTTTATCTTTAAATAATCTCAGAAATGTTATTGATGAACCTACACGCGTTACTGGGACGTCATCAACCTTATTAGACGTAATTTTAGTAAATGATGAAATTCAGATTAGTTCCAGTGAAACGATTAATGTCACTCCTGACATATCCGATCATAAGGGTGTTTATGCATTATTAGATTTTCCAGTTTCAAGTCCCAGGAATTTTAAACGGGAGATATTTGTATATAAGGATGGTAATTATAATAGGTTAAATACTCTTATCAAAGAACACGATTGGGAGAGTACCTTTGCAAATTCTGATATTAACTTAGTATGTTCAAAATTTTATGAAATTTTAAATAGCTATATTACATTGTGCATACCAAAGAAATCAATAACTATAAGACTAACTGACAAACCGTGGTTCAATACAGAAATACGTAGAGCGATAAGAATCAGAAACAGGTTACACAAAAAAGCTTTGAAAACACAACATGAATGCGATTTAAGAAAATACAAAGTTCAAAGAAATAAAGTAAATAATTTTAAAAAAGCGTTAAAAACAAAATACAAAGAAGAAATCACAAATTTCTTGAATTCTAACGATACAAATAGCCAGAATTACTGGAATAATTTAAGGAAAGTATTAGGCCAAAATGTATCAAATGATATTCCTCCACTTTTAGACCCCAATGGAAGAATTGCTCATTCAAATTTTGATAAAGCTGAATTACTTAACAACTATTTCGGATCAATTTCAAATAACACTCAGCAAGGAGAATTACCAAAATTCAATAAGCGAACAAATTGTCAACTTGATATTCCTTTAGTCGAAGAAAAGGAAATCGCAGATCTTATAAGTACACTGAAATTGAAAAAAGCCAATGGATTTGATAATATTAGTAACAAGTTACTAAAATATACCAAAACCTCAATATGTGTACCATTAAAATATATATTTAACAAATCACTAGAATCAGGCGTTTTTCCAACAATTTGGAAAAAAGCAAATGTCCTACCTTTCTATAAAAAAGGAGACAGCTCTCTAGTTTCAAACTACCGACCTATAAGCCTATTAAGTTCTTTGAGCAAATTATTAGAAAAGGTAGTTTTCAAACACCTGTTTAACTATTTTCATGAAAACAATCTCTTGTACAAATACCAATCAGGGTTTCGACCGAACTACTCTACTGTTCATCAACTTTTAGAAGTGTATCA